AAAATTACAAATGTCTAGTCTGATCCTGGAATGATCCTTTTTAATAGGACATTTAAATCCAAGTTAAATCCAAGAACACTTTAGAATAAATTCCCACAATAAAAATCCACGAGAATAATTTATTTTAAAATCCAAGCTCCAATAATTCACTTAATATCCAAGTTGAATAATACTCCAAATATATTGATTTCTTAAAAGGTAACTGATGACTTAATAGATCACTGATGACTTAAAAGGTAAAAGAAATGAAAAATATGCCGTAATATATATAAACTAGGAACATTCCAGAATAGTCTATTATGTTCTAGTGTAATCATAATCTAGCACTTTCAACAATAAAGAACAGTCCGGAAGTTTCTAACTAAATATAATGCATGAGTTTATCTACAACAATTAAGAAAGTTCTAGTACATACATGTAGTTTATGTTCTAAAAATAGAACAATGATAATATTGGAAATACCAACTGGTCAGATACAAACTATATACATGTAATATGTTGCATACATAACAAGATACACACATTAGACTTGTAAGATAAAGAAGAATTGGTAAGAATGGCGTTGAGGGAAGGATTACAGCTCCATTAGTGTTGATCTATTTCTTTCAGGTTTAATTTCCTGCGATATTATGATATTATAACATCTTTGAAATATATGTGCATTGGCCCTATAATCAACATGCAATTGACAGGTTTATAAAATCAAAAAATGTAATGTATTAATAGAACAAATATTTGACATTTTAGTTTATTCCGGTAGAATTATGCCTGACAACATGAACCATTTGTAACAAAATACGACATAATGTCAACAGGTATACATTTTGTACTTCCGGTTTCTACAATGATGCTAATAATTACATAAATAATAGACTCCAACACAGGTGGACTTTTCTCGATATATTGGAATAAGCATATTCAACACATATATCAGGAAGCTGGTTTTAACTGTTTTCGTACAACCTCACAACGTCAAAATAAAAGCGACAATCCAAAACGAAATACGTATCTGTTTTGCGTATACTTTCTACTGTATTCGAGGTCATTTGTCCGAAGACTGGCGGTTAGGGTAGATACTTTTTAGTGTCTAGCTTTATTTGTCATCCAATGAAAACGCTATATTTCTTGAAAATAACAAAAGTTGATACTATATGAAATTATGTTCATAGTCGCCTTGTATTTTTAAAAGTACTTCGTAGTACCGTGTTCGTATGTAAATAGTCGTGACGTAATAAAGAGAATACTAATGAATGCTTTGTCTAACATACTTAGTGTCAAGCTTTATTTTGCCTCATTATTATTCACTTTATAACGTCACTACGCGTTTCTATGAAGCACTATGAATAATAGAAGGCGACTATGAACGAAATTCGATATATATAGTTTCGACTTTTGTTCTTCTATGAAAAATAACACATAATTTTTAAGAAATACAGCGTCTAAATTGGGTGACAAAAAAGTTAGACACTATTATATTAATTCCAACGACAAATCCGTTTTCTTCATTCACGGACTGATCAACATTGAAAAGAACTACAGTACAGGACTGCGATTGGTTAAGAATTAGAGTGACATATTTTTTTGTTTACAATATCTCCGATATTAAAAAGTAAGTTTTATTTTATTTTATTTATTTAATATCTGTTTCGTATGTACATTACACGGTTTTTATAGATTACTTGTTAACAAAATATTAAAAAAAAAATAACAAAAACTCCATAACTGCAATAATTTCAATATCGATTTCAGTAGCTTATATGCATATTTAAATGAATATTTTTTAGATATGATTTTATTTTTCATTTTCACTTAAAAAATCATTTCGAGAGAAATTATAATTTGTTCTGTCATGCCCCTGGAACCTCGCTTTTCTTGAATCTAAACTATTATAAGTATGTCAATTTAAACATATTGCTGGTGTCGGACCACTTAGTTGGCTTTCCTGGATAACTAACTAGTAAACACCAACATATCTGTAAGTTGACGACTAATGATCCAACTTGAGTTCTGAAACAATGGGGAGAGACAAATGACCATTTCATTCAATAGTCACAAACAATTTCGCCTCGCCGGGACGAACGAACCTAAGCAGGAACGATAAACTTTACATCAAAGTTTAACGAGTATAAATTTATGTATATTTTGGCTTTATTTATGATTATGCTATTTGATGTTACGTAAGTATTAATCTTGCACAAGCGTTTTGCGACGCAAAATGTCCTAAAACGCAAATCGCATTAAAAGCGCTATTGATTGAAGGTATAGACTATTGAAATTTCAACCAACAATTATTGAATATGATTAATAATCCAGATTTTTTGATTTTTTTTTATCTCTATTGGAGTACTAGCTTCATATTTGGCAAGACTCCGAATCAGATAATCATGTCTTATACGACGCTGTTAATTTTTGAAAAATAAATATGTCTTTACCTCATTTAGCACAAAACACAGTCAATGTATTGCAATGGGCAATATATACAAATATACATAATTATATGACAAAACTTATAAATGTATATAAAAAATGATAAACATTTTCACTTGTACATTATGTATACAAACTATATGAGCTGCGTCACGACATAACCAACATAATGAGTTTGCAACCAGCATGGATCCAGACGCGCAGTCTGATCAGGATTAGGTGTCTAATAAGTTTGTTAAATAAAAGCCCTGGTGTCAAATTGGCCCCGCCCTAGGGTTCATTGATTTTTCTTATGTGTACACATCTTTTGGAACTGTTGTTTTCCCTGAGCAATAGCAACCAGTAATGTTTTACACGTGCACTTTTTCAGATACAAATATGAACTTTGGTTTATCATTTTAAAACAGATTTTGTTGATAGATTACAATATTACTTGTTCCTTGTCATGTAGAGCTTTAAATACAGTTGAGAACAATTCCGTTGCGGCTCTATGATCAGCGACGTTGAAGCCCTCCGTCGCAGGTTCTACGACCAGCGACGAAACAGAGGCCGATAGTCTGGGACATATTGCATAGCCGGTGCCTAGTATAAACAAAACTTAAATCATCATCATCACACCATCTTATACGATCGGAATGTTTCATTTTGCAAGGCATTGTTTCTCCCTTTTGAAAATTAGACATATTATGAGCAAAACATAATGGGGAATTATCGGAAAATTCTGTAGCTTCAAGAATACTAAAATCTGTTATATATTTAAAATTCTCAAAGTGGATTAACAAATAGTCACCTGTACTTTTATCGCGGATTGGGTGAAACGTACATTCCTCCATTCTATCAATGTGTTATCTTCCATTTATAATCAGTAGGCCTGTACTACAATAGAGTCTGCTACCTTGTGTATCAATAATTCCATCTGAGTTAATGCGCGTAGGAATTTTCATGCTGTTTACAGAAAAAAGATCATTACTTATGTATCTATCAAAATAAAAACAATCTAATTCATCTGATGTCCTACCACTTAACTCTCCAGAAAGATAAATATCGCCTTATTAACAATACTTAATAAATCTAACTCTAAAAGTACAAAAATATCAACATCATGTAAATTCAAACATTAGACATACAATAGGGTATATAAGAATGACATATATATGCATCAACATTAGAATCAAGAAATGTTTCAGAAATTTTTAACCAGATAATACCAGATTGTTGTTTTTCAACAACACGAATGGATTTTTGATAAACTGTGAGCCTTCCACTATATCTACCTTTAGTGACATTTCTTGATTTATAAGTGTTCACTAAAAATACCCTTCAATGTCTAAATTTGAAGTATCTTTATCAGATATCCATGTTTCATTTAAACAAAGTATATCAACATTACTAAGTTAAACATGTTTTAAAAATCAATATCAGACAGTTTTCTTTTTAAACCGTTTGCGTTCCAGGAGACTATTTTCAAAGTTTGCCTTTGATAACATTCCTATGCAGACGTGCTCTCTTCCATGTGCTCGGTATTTAATCTGCTTGTTAGATCACTAGTGTTTCCACTTAAGGACGTTTTCGGGAGTTTTCATATAGACATATAGGCAAAAGTAAAACTGTTCAATAGAATTTCTTTAAATACAATGATATTTTTCCCTCCATATATATTCTGTGCCGTTGACAAAAAGTTTATCATTAACCAATTTGACATTTTTGTCACCTTTTGTTTCTTAAATCTAACAGAATAAGGCCACTGAACTCCTACCCCAATATTTCTACTTTTCATATCATCTGCAAAATCATATGATGTTTTCCGGATAATTTCTCGCTGATTATACATGGTAATGGTGAAATTTTGAATTTAGAAACATCCGATGATGTGTACATACGGCGGTTCTCATATCCTTTTTTACTAACTGTATACCGTCCTCATCAATATGCTCTGGGAATCCGTAAAAAAGTAAATTGCATTGCATTTGTTTCATTTTGATACCTTCCATTACTGTGTTCATTTTTACACTACATTCTTTTATTTCAGCTGTATCCAATTTTCTATATTAATCATGAATTTGTTTCAAATTGTCTTATGTTGACTTTATTTCCTGTTTCTAACTCTCAAACATTTCTGAAGAGACTTTAAATGATTATTCTGTCCTTGTTAAATAATGGCAACAAGATATTTTATTTATTTACGGATGCTATTTTTGTTTTCACACAATCATGTGAACGATGAGCACTGTTGAGTTTAGACAATCGGTCATTTCAGTTCTCTAGTAAGTACTCTAAAATTTACCTCTCTCTTTTTCCCCGCCTCCGACCCTACCTTTTTTTGGAAAAAAATCAGTAAAACAAATACATAAAATAACCTTAATACCTTAAAACTTGAAAACATAAATCTTGGTGTTTTTGTTATTTCTTAAAGTCCAGATTACAGGTAAAACGAAGTGAGTCCAAGGCCTCAGCTCTGAGCACATATAAATAGCATAATTAGAGGACAGGTCAAGAGAACTTGCGAAACCATGTTGTGGAGTCAGACTTGATGTCAACCTGGATCACCTCGGGGATAGCCCTATCCTGCTACATATAAAAGTAATTAAAGTTACGTATTGACATACGTGCTATCACCATCTTTATTCAGAATTTCAGACATGGCATTACTTAGTGACGTTATGCATTAGACTAAAATATGCAACTTATTAAACAACGAGCACATACCAAGAAAAAATGATTAGTGCTTCGGATATTCAATTGTAATAGAGATGAATGTGTACATTAACTGTGACTGTTCACATCATTCGGCGGAGTATCAACATTTAACTTGTTAATTGCTGTAATGCTCTTTTGTAAATAATAATTGTTGTATGTCTCTATTTTTTTTTGAATATGCGACTGTGCAAAATAGTGTTATTATTATTGTCTTCCCATAAATCTGTACAGTTTACTTACTACAAAGTTTGCATACTTTTTGAAGTCTGCCTGCTTAATTCAATAGGGAGAGCAAGATGTAGTTATCCTCCGATTTCTGGTTCGATCCTCTGGCAAGGCGAAATTTTGTGTTACAATTGATCTCAGAAATAAGTTTGTAAGAGGACAACTGCATAGAAATTAGTTATTAATGTTAAGTTATTCAGGAAATTCAGTCACATATAGGTTAAAGTGAGCTAACTTAGTACTTTGATGTTACCAAGAAAATTGCTGCATAAACCAGAAAAACAAATTAACAAAAATATTCTTGCGGAAGCTTTATTCATTTAGAATATAACTTTTCATTTTCATTCAAAAATACAGTTTTGGCTGTCAGATGTTGAATGATATTTTTTACTTTTTACTGATAAGCATTAATTTTACTAAAATGTACATATAGGACAGAGGACATATTTTGTAAAAGTATTTTGCTGTAGATTTGCACTCTTTTGTCTTGTGAATAAATCCAATAACTATATAATATTTAAGACTGTTAGGCAATGGCAGCACTACAAGTTCAGCAACACAACACGAATGTTTTAGAGAGCCTTGAAGCAGGAGATTTAGTGGAGTTCAAAAGAGGAGTTTACTCCCACTGGGCGGTGTATATTGGTATTGACTTTTTTCTTTCGTTTTATTTCTTCCAGGTGCTTTTTATGCCCCAAATTGGGGAAACATATGGTTTTTATAGCGTTCCTCCGTCCTCCGAACTTTGTCTGGTCTATAACTTTGTCAATTATGGATGTATTTTAAAATAATTTTTTAATAATATGTGGCACAAATGACCAATGCGTAATGTGCAACATCTACATCTGAAGCTTAAAGTGCAATTTAACAGTATGGCTGCAAAGAACTTGATAAATGATACTACACTGATGTTCGTGCACCGCTGTTGCAGCTTAAGCTTGTTGAAAAATTGCCTGCAAATAGGTATGGCAAATTTAAAGCTGAAAAAAAATGATTATTAAACAATCATTCTTTTTCACTTGTAACTGAAAACAATGTTTATAAGTAAACTCATTGAAATAGAGCTACAGGTCTGGATGATATTTCATCCCGTTTTTTCAAAGATGGTGCATCTATTACAGCAAGTAATTTTACATGTTGTCAACTTATCCTTCATACCAGGTGTAATATCTGATGATCCCTCTGTACAAGAAGTGACAAAACACATGTTGATAATTATAGACCTCTTCCAATTATATGCATTGTTTCCAAAATGCTTGAGAGAGTTGTATATGACCAAGTTGAGTCTTATTTTAAGGACAGGGGTTTGTTTTATCAGTTTCAGTCAGGCTTTAGAAGTGGTTTTAACATAACACATGTTGACTTCTTTTGACTGATTGTTTTGGATTTGAAATGGCCAAAAACAGTATTTTTGATCATGGTTCCTCTACTTGCCCCTGCTTGGGTGCGGAGTAGGGGCAATTGTTGTTTCCAACAACAGTTCTTGTTTCATCTGTTTTGAAACTGAAATTGAAAGATAGATATATGCATTTTTTTCAACTTTCCTTAACAAAAATGAAATTGTTACATTCAAAGTCATAAATCTATTGGTCAAGGTCTTTAGTGCTTTTTTCATTCTTGTGTTCAATTTCAGGCAATGAACAAGTCATTCACTTAACAGGTGATGGAAGCGTGTTTAGTGGCAATATCAGCTCTGGTTCTGTGTTTTCAATCTGTGGTATATACTATACAAAGGCTATTGTCGAAGAGGAAAACATTTGGACAGTTGCAGGCGACTGCAAATTCTACAGGGATAATAGAGTGAGGTAGGGTCTTGATCAAAATTTATATATAATTACTTATAATCAATTAATAATGACCAATTATGGTAGTGATAGTTAATTATGTAAAGCCTTAAACAGGCAATGAATTGAAGGTAGTCTGGTGACAGGGCACTCATGTGAGGTCTTCCTCAACCAGTAAAGCTGGGAAGTTGACATTATGACCTGAACAGTGTTCATGCTAACTTACATCTGATACAACCTAAAAAGAAGAGAGAAAATTGGTTTGTTTTATTAAACAATTTGCTGAAGCAAAGCAATGCACTTTCTTTATATGATACATTAATTCTAATATGCCCGAATTCCCCCAGGACACTGCATACACTGTGGAAAATAAAAAGTGGGTCATCTAACTGTAAACAGTCACCGTCGTTTACTTTTTCATTAATAAATGGTTTTGGGCTTAATTATTTCAAAGAAAGAAAAAAGAACTTTTGCTACAGTCATGTTGTCAACATGTCGTTGACATTGTTGTTTCTGTTCAAAAATTAAACATTATCATAAAGCATTTTTGGCCGGGTTGCACAGGTGCAAACGCGGGTTAAAGTATGGTGAATGTTGGGCGGCGGATGGCTTGCGGGCGGAAACACGTTTCGTAACAGTTTTCTCAGCAACTGCTTATCACAGCCTCTTGATTTTTGGCATACAGTATAAACATGTGGTCCCAAACCGTGTGATTTGATTTCAGGTCTGTAACTATTCCACTTCCTGTCTACTGACTTAGTTAAATCTTCGACATTTAAGGGACTCCACTGAGGTTTTTTGATATGATGGGACTGAATTTTTTTCCATATAAATGTACCATTTGATGTAGGTTTTGACCTTTAATTTTTGTGCAAAATTTCAAATCATTCGCGCACTTCGTTTTTCCAGAAAAATTATTCACTTTGTAAATAAATGACCCAAAATGAAAAGCGTTTAAACGCTTTTCATTCAAATCGGATTAAGAAAAGCATATAAATACGATTTTCAATTATTTCAAAGTATATTTTTTAACTATCTTTGCATATATTTCTGTCTAAAGTGCCCCAGTTCATTTATGTAAGAAATTCAAATGTTATGTTTTTAGGCTTTTAAACCTCAGTGGAGTCCATATAATGGTTAATGGTAGGAAATTTAAGTAACAGTTTTCTCACAAACTACTTGTCATAGCCTCTTGATATTTGGCATACATTATAAATATGTGATCCCATCTTGATATTTGGCATACAGCATTGACATATGGTCCCATACCGTGGGATTCGATTTCAGATATGTCGCTCCTTCACCTCCTGTTAACTGACTTAGTTAAATTTTCGACATTAATGGTCAGTGTTTTTTTTTCCATAACATAACAGCATCATGATATTTGGTATACAAATGCAACCCGGCCTTTTCTGTCTTTTCCTCATATTTTATTATTTTCTAAAAGGGTTACATTTATACTTGGACACAACGACTCTTTGTACAAGATCTTTAAGTTAACAAGATTGTACTTGTCCTTTAATTATAAAAGACTATGTTGAAGTTCAAGGATTTAATTTTTGCTTGATTTTAGCTATAATTGGCTGCTTTGTTTTCTATTACATTCTAATATTCATATTTGGACCTTTATGTAGACTGAATTGATTGTGACATTTATTCATCAATGACCTTGACATTGAAGGCCTAAGGATTATTCTTGATTGTTCATAACTTTGTTATTCATGAATGTTTTGTGTCAGTATGAGTACAACAGACCAAACCGAATATGACGATCACTCAAAATTAGCCTTGGCAATGAAGGTCGAATTAATGTAACTTCACAGTTTTTTTTCTCTCTATAATTGTCTTTTACTTTGAAAAGTTAACATTGAAAAGATTGTCCTTATACTTGCACACAACAGTCTATGTGACAATACATTTAGCTCAGATTGTCATATCTTTGTTATTCATTTACGGATTTGATTCATTCTTTGACAAACTTATCTAATATTACCTTGACTTTTCTATTAGGGTTTAGTGCCATATTATTGAAATTTGCTAAATTGTCATCGATTTAATAACTTTTACAGATTTGATTTAAATACTTTGATAAAAGAACATCCTTAACTGTAAGTTATAATAAGTAAAAATCGCAAAAAATTTCTACTTCGCAAAATGAACCACATATACAAATCAAATTAAAATGACAGCTTTTTTGGAACATTTTGCAGACTTTGGTAAAGCCTGGTGAAAATCATGTCCAATATGGACACACATGTACAGGAGATTATCAATAAAGTGCTATTCTGGCTCTCTTGTTTATTTTTTCAGATAGACTTTTTAAATATTAGTGCCCCTCCTCCCTTGTGACTGAGGGATTGCCTATATGTGTTGAGGCAGAAGAATCACAGTCTAAGTTTATCCCTGTGTGAAGTAAGAGGTTAGCCAAATTCATCTTTATTGTTTCGACGTCATATGACTTACACTGTGTTTGGCGCACAGTAAAACCAAACTAACAAAAGGAAATACTGGTGGGTATCTCGAAAGGTCAACACGAAACGAGTCTTTCTGACATTATTTCATGAAAGGTCTTTTCTGACAGAATCTTAACAGTCTTTATAGTGTTCACATTAAGTGTTAAAATCTTCATTTATTTTTTGCATAATTAAAAATACTGCAAAATCAGTCATTAATTGTACATAGCATGTAACTTTTTACTTAAATCTTGAATTTTTCACTTTTTTTTAAATCATATTACATTTTTCTCAAGTTTGATTTTTTTGAAATACTTTGGTTCATCTGAAGACATGCAGCTTTAAAGGAATTCCACTGAGGTTCATAAGCGTAAAATCATAAAATTTTAATTTCTCACATCAACTGGTGCACCTAAAACGGAAATATATACAAAAGATAATTAAGAAATATACCCAGAAATACACCGAAAATCGTATGTTTGTGTTATTCTCAGTCCGATTTGAGTGAAAAGCGTTTAAACGTTTTTTCAATTTTAGGTCATTTTTGACAATTAAAACAATTATTCTGGAAAAACGAAGCGAGCTAATGATCTGAAATTTTGCATAGAAATTGTTGGTATATACCTACATCAGATGGAGTAATAATCTCAAAAAATATTCCAGTGTTGTCATGTCAAAAAACTCAGTGTAGTCCCTTTAATACCTCTTTTGAAAGTAACCTATGTGAAGATATATCAATTTTTAACTATACAATTGTTGTCGTTTAATAGTTATCCAATTCATTTAAATCAATTTAAATATTAAAAGAACCATTAAGTTAATTTAAAATCAAACGATGTAGTTGTGATGTACTGAAATCATGTTCGAACTAGTTAAAGATAATTATTTATTTTTCTACAATTCAGGCATTTTTGTTTATTATTTATCAATGAAATTAACTGAAAACTTTTCTGCAAACTGGTGGCAATTTATTGATGGAAACAAACAAACAAACATTGATTAGCTGTGGGCGTAAGGGATGTTTCACTTTTTCATTATTCCTTATGTACAGACTCAATCAAACCCAGGCTGCAATTTTCATGTAAATTTGCTGTTTTTAATGCTTCAGAGGGATCACTTTGTTACCAGATATTTATTTAAGGAGCAGTGGTTTTTTTTCAAAACCTTGAATTTCGGTCAGTCCACATAACAAACTTTCCAAAATAGCTTAACATTTATTACCATATCATTTGGAAATAATCGACAACTTACCCCACATGATTTCTAATTTGACAAAGACATTAGACTTAATGTTTTATTTTTAGTCATTTTTGTCTTATTAATTATTGCAAAGTTCAATAAGTTTCTTACTTCATCAAGATCCAAAATATATTTTGATTCATCAATGGTCACTGGTATACAGGCTTCTGTGTATCTTGTCATGGGAATGAAGTTGGAGAAGCAGGGCTTTCCATTTACTAATCTACCAAAATAATTGAATGACTTACAATTGCCATAGTGTAAATAAGAAGAAAAATTTAATTACGGAGAAGCCTGAACTGAATTTCATCCCTACTTTTCCGAATGAACTTCCAGATGATAACATAAAACGCATGTTAATTACATTATACGTATTATTGATAAAACATGAATATTCAAAGCTCAGTTTGTTTTAGTTGACATAACTATGTAAATAAAAAACAGGACAATAGACATTTTATATAGTAATATCCGGAATAGTACTTGTTTCGCAAAAGTCTGTTTTCAGTTTTTTCTCATTTCTTTCCCTAAAATTTCAAAGCAAAACTAACATATGTGAATATTTCATAAGATCACAAAAATTCAATTTCCCCCCTATCATATATTGTCATTATACCACATTCTGAAGCAATAGTGTGTTTTCTGTTTATAATATCACAGAGAATAGTTTCGGAATTCATTTTGTCATACTTGTATATGTCGATTATCTGCCGCAAAACTATTCTATGTGACATTTCGTACTAAATCATGTTTTATGAACAGATTTTCAAAACTGAGATAAGTATGGTTAAGCCTTTCTTAAATACACATTATATCTATTTCATATCGTAAAATTCTGAAAATGTAAGACTTGGTAAAGTCTTTCCTTCTGAACATTTAAAAATATGCACATAGACTAGTTTCGGGTTGAGCTCTCGATATCACACTTACCATGTGTTGCCATTGGGGTAACCTGTTACGACTATGTACAGTTTCATGTGCAACTACTTCTTTAATATCATAACTAATGAACCACTACATACATTTGCCAGTCACTTCACTCATTTCCGTCGATCATAATAAAAGGTCGCTATCTGAGGCCCATGGCTTAAGAATTGATTTTGACAGAATAATGGCCTTACGTGTACTAAGTAATTTCTTGGTTAACATTCTGCAGGCAACGTTTGCCTTCAAAACCACTGAAAGCGTTTACTTGCATTTTATACATGCTTTCGTGACCATATTTGGAGTTCATTTTTATGCTTACTTAAATATGCACTTTGATTTTTTTGGCCCTTGTGAACTATGAAAATTCTTGGGTTGAAGTCTTGTATGCAACATTAAGAAATGGCGGTATTTTTGTTGTTGTTCTATTCATGTCTTTGGAATTAGAGTTGAAGGTCCCTTTCTGAGAGCCTTATTTCTGGCATGGAATTTGAATAATGAAAGACAATATTGAATTTTGAAATTTCTTAGGTCAAATACAGCTACCAACAATACAGAACATCATCAGACTGACCTATATGCCTGGCTAGAGGCTTGTCACTTTTAGTGCAAGCGGTTTAAGAGTCAACAACGTTTTCTTTTTCATTTATAGTCCTTTCACAGCAGCAGAGATTATAAGAAGAGCTAGGGCTAAACTCGGGAATATTCACGATCATGTTTTATGGAGTAACTGTGAACATTTTGCATCCTTCTGTAGATATGGAAATCCTAAAAGTGACCAGGCGGTAAGTTGTAGTTCTGAACTTTTAATCTTGTAATAAAGCATCAAATGCTCCCGAATTGAAAATATAATTTCTTGTTTTCCTGGATAAATTTAACTTTAAGTCTTATGCCCTGAACCTCCAGGCACAATACAAATAATTATTGTATGATTGAATTTTGGAACAAATTTTCAATCAATTGTTTTATACTCAGAGGCACGACACTTAAATTTTTCTGTAAAAATAGGTCACTTGTGAAAAGATTTTGTTCAAATTAGGACCATACAAAATTCAACATGTCATACTTACTCTTTAGAATTATATTTACAATTCATCTGTAAGAAAATAGAATGAAAATGAAAAATCACAGAATGACTGTAAAGATCGTAACAAATTGAACTGCCTCTGAATCCAACTGAATCTTTCTATTAACCTATTCTAACACTTGCTATAATAACGTAAAAACCACCGGCTCACAGCTCTCTAGTCCTAAACACGGGCTTGCTCGAGCTGCAGCAAATGTCGACGGGTTTCTGGTCGCTTTTTACAATCAATTCTGTTCAATTCAGCCGACAAGTGGGATGTTCAGATCAGGCGACTTCGGATGTAGGAGTTTTTGGAACTCGAAGAGGTCATTATTATTCAGGAATGGAGAAATATTCCCAAAGCCTTCATAAGAAACTACGTCAAAACCATGAGACAGATGTTAACACTTGGTATATAGCCATGGGAGGACACACACAATATTGGAACTGGTTAACATACAGCTTTTGTGGGATTCAGAGACTTTTCATTTTGTTACGATATTTACAGCCATTCTGTGATTTTTAATTTTTCAGTAGCATGTTTATTTTGTTATTTACTCTATTTTTTGGCAATGAATTGTAAATAAAATTCTAAAAAATAAGTATGATATGTTGAATTTTGAACGTTAAAAAAATTGAACAAAATCCGTTCACAAATAACCAATTTATACAGAAAAAAATGTAAGTGTCGGGTTATAAGTGCCTCTGAGTGTTTCATTTTCATAATTAACACGTTACTCTGATGGCAACGTAAAAGTTGTACTCGATTGAAAAGTGCTTGGTGTCATGTTAAACTCTCATAATTAACATTAATGCTATCGGGTCCATCGCACTGCGTTGTAACCGAATCAACAACCGTCTGCGTTGTAATAATATTTTGTCAAATCTTTAACAAGCAGGCAATAACAATTTCGAAAGTTCAAAATAAATACTTTTTTTAAGTTTCATTCAATGTAATGTCAGTACAACCGACGCAATGCAATGTCAGTGTATTTAGTTAGTTAGCATTTGTACGTGTTTAAACAAAAAACAGTCAAAAGTGACGTCTACTCGTCAAACTGTACAAAAGTGTTTGCCTACCTGGCACCGTGTGCGTGTAATAAGTTAGACGAGTACATATGTAGGCTACTGTCTCACATGGGCGTTTCCAGTAAAATATAAAGCATGATTCAGTCATAAACCAGACGAAAACGACAAACGGCAGTTGTTTTCGGCGCTTCTGCGATGAATAATCCACCGCCGCTGCGACTGACTACCGCTTCTGCAAAAGCGATGGCCAGTGTTATTTTATGGTTCTTTAAGAGATATATAACTCATGCCCTCAAGTATATTTATCATCTCCAGAATTTCATTTATCTTTCAAATGTAATATAGCAAACATTACTTCAGGGGCATGCAATTTTGGACACCAGGGGCCGTATTCATAAAGAATCTTGTCAATAATTGCATTCCCCTGAAGGCATGTTTGCTACATTACATTTTGAAAGAAACGTAACTCTACATTATATTGCCCCCTGCTTAGATACTCGTATATAGCATGTGCAATTTTCCTGAGAAGGTCTACAACAATCTTTGTCTATTAACCAAAGTGTCAGCATTTGCTCAGCTCTCTTAGGTATCGTATCATGATTATCATAGAATAATAATAGCAAAACATATTTAAATCTTCTTATTTAAAACTACATTCACCACTTAGAGCTTAGGAATTTGCCATGATATTTTGCTTAGCAAAACTCTATTCAACCTATTTAAATCATGACATTATTGTTAAAAATGGTGCCAATCCTAATGTGCACTGTAGCCTATCTGAACTGAATTAATTTTTTACCTTTTCTGGCAATGAATTGTAGGTGAGCAGTCTAGGGCAGTTATGAACTTCTAAATAATATAATAAGATGTAAAACAATTTGCATTGACATATATTTTAAGAAAAGTATTTTTTATGGCCGCAATTTATCAATTTATTGTTTCTGTATATTATAGGTATTTATTGGTTACTCCATACTTGCAGGAGGTGTTGTCGCTTTCGCTTTCAGTTTATTTCGTGCACTGCGAGGATAAATATAGACACTTTGTGATGTGGCATTTCTTCATTACTTACAAACTACAACCTAAGGCAAGCCCTTTCTTTCGTACGCTCAACTCAACTCTCCTCATCAACTGGACTATCCAACTTTTTATCATACGTCAACAAAACATTTCGTTATAACGATCATTCATGTACGTACTAAAGAAACTTTAATTAATCATCTGAACATATTATCCAACCAATGTGCATTTTCAATTTTATACTCTCATATTGTCAAAAACACACTTAATCTTTGTCATGGTTAAAGTTCCCGTTATGAAATAAAATATATCGCTCTAAAAACTGTGTGCGACATTTCAATCTGTCAAATGATTTTAGTACATAAATCTTTATCAATGAAAAATAACACGAAATATGAAGAAAGGTTGCAGACTGCATCAACAATTTTTATATTTTAGTATCAGTAGAAGAAAACCATAAGAACACAAGTATTTAAATCAAAGGCTTAGTAGGGGAAAAGGCATGAAAACATCAACTAACTTTTGGAGGATAAGGCAAAATCGTTTAGAATTTAGATGTTGTGGGCATGAAAATATTATTTTTAGGACAGAAGATAAATGCATTTGGTCTTATAAATGTCAAAGGTTGAAGTTTTGAGCCATTTGCTCAAAACGGGGAGGGAATTGTATAAATGGCATCCGTCTGTCAGTCAGTCCATTCGTCCGTCCGTCTGTCCGTTCGTAACACTTTCGTGACCGCTCAATAACTTTTAAACCGATGTAATATTTTTAATTAATAACTTGATACTACAAGTGAACACCATTATACGGCGATGTGTAGATCACAATAATTGGGTTGCTACCCCCAAGGTCAAGGTTACACTTAAAGGTCAAGTATTAAAAAGTCTTCATTTCGTGTCCACACCATAATATTCAATCCGCTGCAATGCTTTTGAAATAATTTGGCAGAAATGATCACTATTATGAGCCGATGTCCAGAGAACAATAATCAAGTCACTACTCTAAAGGTCAAGGTCACACTCAAAGGTTCAATGTTAAAACATCTAGTATTTTTCATGTCCGCTCTATAACTTATTGACAATTCAAAGGTTTTAATATAACTTGGCACAAATAACCACCATGACACAATCGGAGTGCAACATCTAGGTTGCTACTCACATTGTTTCATCCTGGTTGCTACCCCCAAGGTCAAGGTCACACTTAAAGGTCAAATGATAAAGTTCACATGTTCCTGTCCGCTTTTTAGCCTTTAAACTAATGAAAAGTTGTTTTCTTAAAATAACTTTGCACAAATGGCATCATAATGACATGATGTGTTGAGTGCAATATTCAGGTGGCTATCCCCAAAGTCTAGGTCACACATATCAAATATTAAAAGTCAACAATCTTGCGTCATCTTCATAACTTTTTAACTACTGAAATTTTAAACTATATTGGCAAAAATTATCCCTACAGAGAGCAATTTCCAGGTTGCTACCTTTAACATAACTAGTCTTGTAATTTTCACCTGAATGAAAGCTATATCAAATAATACATATTAAGAGTATCAATCAAAGTATTCTTAGTTAAAACAGGGCATATCACTTAAGCCCATAAAACAACACTTAAAGCATGATGCAACCAAATATGTCAGAAACTTGTCAATATATGAAGTCTAAAATTACCCATGGTTACTAAAACCTTGAGCTAAAAATTCAAACAAAATAATAAGCTGGTATCTACTAAAGTTTTATCTACCCGCTAACTTGGACGATAATTGGTCAATAACTGAAATACAGTCTTTTTGAT